TTAAAGTTTATTATAAATTATAGATTTTATTAGTATATTCTTATTTTTTATTTAAAAAGTATGTATTCTTTATGTAAATGTAATTTTGTGTATCTATTTTTTTTTTCTTTTAAAGCAATTTTTATCATTTAAACAAAGACTTACAAAAATAGTTGCGTTTTCAATGAAGTTATAATCATTAAAGTTAATAAAACTAATCATGTAACAAACATACAAGAAGTTTCTGATTACTAAACACAAACAATGTATACAAAGTAACTCGCGGATGAACAAGCACCACTCCTGAGGTCACAACAGAATGCAAATATATATAGCAAATAATTAGATATAAAGAAAAGTTTCTAGATATTGGTTTACTAACTCTAATTATTTTCGATCAAGTTGCCATTCTTAAAACTTGTTATATTTTTTTCTGCTTTAAATACTAATTAAAACTAAAAAGCCCACTCACTAAACATCATTAGCGATATTGTGAAGCAGTTTCGCTTCCTCATCATAAAGTATTTTTAACTTTATTAGTTGATTTCTATCTTGTTAATTTAATTTCTATATTAATTCAATGATTTAATTATTTCATTTGTTTATCTTACTAAGAAGAATTGCTCCAAATATGTTAAACTTTTCAAACTACGCGAAACATAAAATAGGTATTCAAAAAATTAACTTTTTTATTTATAAAGTAATTTAACTTAAATAAAACTAAAACTTGCAAACTTTGTTAAATAAAGAATGTTTGTTTCCTTTTTAAACAATCGTAAGATGTTACTTTATATAAAAAACATCGCTTAATTTTATAAAAAAAATTACAAAAGAGCATTGTTTCGAAAATATTTGTTCTAAACATAATTTATTTAGCTTTAAGTTTTTTCGCGTTTAAAATTATTTTAATTTGCCTAATTTTTTATTTTTTTTTGTAATTGTCTCTTAATGGTTCAATTAATCTTTTGCGCTTTTTTTTTTAAATGTTCTTAAAACAACTAAAAAATCTGGCCAGCTTTTCGCAACTAAATATTATTTACATCATCAAGAGCGATCGCTCCTGCTTCCCGACAAAGCCTATATATATATATATATATATATATATATATATATATATATATATATATATATATATATATATATATATATATATATATATATATATAACTATTATAATTTATATTTTAGAATATTTTCTACCTCAATCATCACTTAAAAGACATCTTCATTCAACTGGTAAGTTTTGTTTATTTAAACTAAAATTCTCGCAAAAAATTGCTATAATGTCTGTTTTGTGATGACTCTTAAGGGACTTTTTACTAAGTGTTACAATGTTGTGACAAGGGTATAGGGGTTAAAAATAGTCAAAATTGTGTGAAGTAATTTATCAGCAACCTCTTAAAAGTTTTACTTCAATAAATTGTATTTTTTATCAATATTGCTGCTTCAATTTATCAATTAATACATATTAAAATAATATGTGCTGCTTTGACTACTCCTATCTTATTTCTTAATGTGGTTTAAACCATTGTTTAATCCAGCCTTAAAAAAAAGTGCATATGTATTACAGGCCTTGTTTTAAATAAAAAATGCTTAATGCATTAGCTTAACGCGATATTTGACTTCATTCTTTTTATTTTTATACTTTTTAAAGACAACTTTTTTAAATTACTGCAATAATATTAATTACCGCAAAACAAATAAAATGTTATTTAACAGCTTTTTTATTATTACTATATAGGAGTGTTGATTTTCTTTTTTTTTCTTTGTTTTAATATTAAATAATTAAATTTAATATTGCATTTTTAAAAATGTTTGATATTAACAAATTTCTTTCTTTTCTCAACATATGCATAAATCAATTAAATTATGTTAAATTTTTGAGTTTTTAAAATGATTATTTCTTAAATTTATAATTGCGGCTTTGCTACTACACAAATGATTTTTTATTTAAAAAAAATTAGCAAATAACAAATAAAAAAATTTATTTACATTATTTCTTTAAAGTTTATTAGTTTATTAGTTTATTATTAAAATTACATCGCTGAATATATAGTTTATTAAAATGTAATCGCTGCAATTTAATTTGTATTATAGTTTAGCTTGCGTTTTGTGCAAACTTTTGATGCAGTAGTTTATTTGTTTAATTGCTTAATTTCATTTAGTAAACAACACAAAGATTCTTTTTTATGAACAGGTTGTTTTTTTTGAAAGACAATCATTAACATTTTTCATATACTTTCCTTTTACTTTAGCATTTTTGTAAATGTAGAGTTTTTTGATTCCACAAGAATTCATGAAGAATTCATTTCTTTTTGCCATTTAAGATTTTATTGAAACGGCTTTGATAAAAAATAAACATACAAACAAATTTAAAAACATTTTTACTGTTTTAAAATATTTACACCACAAAATAGTAAATTTTTATTTTATTTTAAATAAATGAAGATAGATTTCAGAAGAGATTCCAATTTTTATTTCACTATGAATGCTTTATTGACTTAATAGTTTCCCTTTTATGCGTGAAGTAAATAATGATATCAAATTGAGGAAAAAAAGCAAACTAAAGTGACATTCAACTAATTGATTTTTATTATCAGCTACGGGATCATTTGATGATTTTTAATTATTAAATGCCTTTTTGTTTTTGAATTAAAAAACTTTAAATAGACAAATTAAATAACATAAATAATAGACAAAAGGTTAAAAAGTAAGTTGTAAATTAAAGAAAAAAAGCAAATATCTCCTTCTCAGCATTCAACTACACAACATAAAATCAGATTTTTTACATCTTTCACTACTTAAAACCTTGCTTTTTCTCTTTCTTTTTTATGTATTTAAGAAATTATTTTTATATTTATAGTTAATGAAAAAAATATAAATATAATAAAAAAAACTCTATTAAAAAATATAAAAGATAAGTCATCAAAGTTGCTATTTTTGTTTTTTTTAAAATCAACAAAATTTAATGTACTTCATTCAATGGTTTTGACTTTAAGCTGAATGATAGTTGCAGGTTATTAAAGCATCTATAATAAAATGTTACTGCAGCAAAAGCAAAAGTTTTTTGTTTTTTATTTTATATTCTTGGTTTGAATTTTTTGCTTGTTTGTTTATTTGTTATATATTTTAACAGCATCATTGAACAAGAAAGATTACTACAAAATTTTGGGCGTTCAGAAAGGAGCTTCTGCTACAGATATCAAGAAAGCATATTATCAAGTAAATAAATATAATTATATTTATTTTAAATTTATTTTAAATTATATTTTTTATTGCTATACTGGTACTTAGTATAATTATAATACTGTTATACTTTACTTAAAAAGTTTATCACCATTATTATTTGTAATAATTTTTGTTTATTGTAATTAATTTTGATTGACTACTTTATTAAATTAAATTTCAATTTACTTTTATGTATCATTTAAACTTATCATTTATATTAGATTTTTTGAAAGTTTGTTTAATTAGGTTTTTAAATTTTTGCAATCAATATCAGCCATTATTTGTTTAATAAATTTTTGCAATCGAATTCAGCTATTATTTGTTTAATAAAATTTTGCAATCGAATTCAGCCATTATTTGTTTTAAATCTTTATCTTTAAAGGGATCAAACGGTGCAGAGACAAATTGTTTTTTAGTTCATAAAATTTTGTTCATAAAATTGAGTTCATAAAAATTTATTACATAAAAATTTAGTTCATAAAAATTTAGTTCATAAAAATTTAGTTCATAAAAATTTAGTTCATAAAAATTTAATTCATAAAAATTTAGTTCATAAAAAACATATTAGAAATTTAATTTAGAACAAATTTTCTATAGAGATATCAATAAAAAAAAACATTTTTTTTCCTGCCATCATACTTCTGAATAAATTTAATTTTAGGCTCATAAATCTGCAAAGTTTTTTCGCTTATAAAAATATTTGCACTCATTGCAGAGTTTCTTTTTTTTCAATTTATTTTGTATAATTAGATAGGATTTTCCCTTTTTATAATTTGTTTGCATTGATTATAAAAAAATATTTGCATTTACATGTTTTTGTATCCATTATACATATGGTTTTCGTGAGAGGTCAGTAGTGAACGATAATCCAAGAAGACATAAAAAAAAGACTCACTGAGAGGGTAGCCATTCATCAATATAGGAATGTTAACAATATTGAGATAGTTGTTTGTAGTAAATAACTGAGTTTTGTTGCAGTTAAAATAAACAAGCCACTGCAAACCTCAAGCTGAAGTGAGATCAAATTCAAGATCAGCTGCCTGTTCTAAGCAATTGAAAAGAGAAGGCTTTTTATCAGTAAAGGAGTATTAAGTTGAGTTGTTAGCAAAAAGAGCCACTTTAGATGTACGATTATTAGGAAGATCATTAATGCAGATAAGAAACAAAACAGATAGGACGTTGAGGTATCCCAGAAGTTACTGGAAATGAAGAAGAGTGTTGGCCTTCAAGGATGACTTGAATAAAGCAGGTAGAAAGAAATAATTTGATTTTGAAAAAATTTGAAACAATTTCTCAAAAACATTTCCAGATACACCATATAAAGCAAGCTTATGGAGAAGATCAGCATGCCAAACTTTGTCAAAAGCTTAATATTTGTCAAGAGCAATAGCCATAGCCTCTCTGCCTCCATCTAATGCACGATAAAATCTTTTAGTCACTGTAGTTAGCATGTCAGCTGTAGATTGAAAAACCGTATTGATTGTATGAAAGTAAGTTATATGACTCAAGATGGGATGTGAGAAATTTGTTGACTCAAAGACCTTGCTAATAGCAGAAAGAAGACTGATTGGACGATAATTGAAGGGGTCAGAATGTTCTCTAGAGTTTAGAGAGAAATGAAGAGAGGTCTGGAGAACAATTTTGTGTGACAAAAATGTTGTCTAGACCACAAGCAGTAGAAGAGTTTAGTTGATATATGACTTTAGCAATTGAAGCTGGAATGATTTGAATGTCTAACAACGGGTTAACCTTTTTAATTGGAATGGAAGAAAGAAAAAGGTCAAAAGATTCAAGAGTCAAATTAGAAGAAAAGTTCTTTGCAAATAGTTTTGCCTTATCCTTGAGAAGAGAGTAATAAGATCAGCTCTATGAATGAGAGATGGAATAATAATTAATAGCTGTTTGTTCTCAGGAGAGTAATTTTTTTGAAAAACATAAAAAAAATTACAATTAGATATAGCAGCTGCACAAGAAGGTGAAAACCCTGGAATAGAATGAGACTTGACTTGGAACCGATTAGAAGGAATAAAAGCTTTCATTCCTGCCTGAATCCAGGAGGTTAGGTAGGAGGTGCATCAGCTGTGATAAAAAACATCAGCCCAAGGATCATCATGAAGAAAATCATGACAATAATCCAGGTCAGCTACTAATTTCTAATTCTTATTTAACTAAAAATTTGGAAAATCAATTAATTTAGAAGCCTAAAATATTGCTAAAAAAGGGAATCTAGAAAATAGAATTTAATCACATGTCCCTGCCCAAGTCTTTGTAATACTAAAAAAATTACAATTAGATACAACAGCTGCACAAGGTGAAGACCACACGGGTAAAACCACAGATGTCTATTTCTTGAAAATTTCAAGCTTTAAATTTTTTAATGATATTATAGTATTAATTTATTATTTATAATATTAATATAGTATTTTAATTTAAAAACTCATAACAAAAAAACAATGGTATAAGGATTTATGATTTTTGTATTTCAAAAAAAGGCCAACCTTAAAACATGTTGTCCAATGTTGACTCGGTAAAAATCGCAGTTATCCAAGTTATTTATAACTAAACCAATAATAATAAAAGGATAAATCACATGACTAATTTTGATCCTTACAAAATTTGTCTCTTGATGTAAACAACATTACATTCACAGAAAAACATTTTAAAAAAAAATTCAGTTAATAGAGGGAAGAGAGAGTTTGCTCAAGATCTAAGATTATAAAGTTGTGTAACAGGAATACCATGTGTTAATCTGAGGTGTTTTAAAATTACAACAGAAGATGACAGAATAAAAATTTAACAATTTAAAAACAATGAGCATAATTTTGATATTTTTTTACTTATTTTTGTTATAGACAAAGCAGAAAATTAATAACAAAACAATCTTAACTCCATAGTTATTTATATAAGTGCTACCTGAACATTTTTAGAGGTTTTATAAACAAGCCAATCTGTGTTTGTGTGTATTTATTTATATATTTAATTTGAAAGAAAGTTGTGTAAGGGGAATTGAAGAAATTAGCTGTCATGATTTGTACAATATGGTCATGGTAAATATGTTCCACACCAGGTAATATCGAAACTTGTTTTTAATTTGGTCTCTTTTCATCAATGAATTTTAACAAGCAGCAGAAAATCAATCAATTTAAACATCTTGACTTTTGGTTGACAATTAGTTTACTATACTTAAAAAACTATACTTATTTACTTCAATAATTTTTAACATAGATGACAGTTATGTAACATTTCTCCCGTTGTTTTAGGAAACTTAAGATTTTAACAAAAAAAAAAATTTTAACCCTCTCATAAAAATTTTTTAACCCTCTCATAGAAACTTTTCTTTAAAAAAACTCTTAACAAAATGTTTCAATTAAGCTGTTTTAATAATGATATTAGGAATTAAATTTTTATTATAGCAGTTGTTTGTGCCAAATATTGATACTTAATGCAAATGGAAACCATCTAGATCATGAGTGAAATTATAAACAGTTTCCATTACCAAATATAAAAATACAAAGTAAAAATGACCAATATATCTATACAAAATAATAATTTCAAAGAGAAAGAATATAAATATTTACATGAGAAACAAAAAACATTTTTTTTGGAGATAAAATAAAAACAAAAAACATAGAAAAGTATCAAAACTACTTATAAAAACAATTTGAATTCATTCATTGTTGTACAGCAAGTAAATGATATGGAGATTATCCAAATTTAATTTTGGTTTTCAGGAAACGATCAACATTCAGAGCATTTCTTAAATACTCCTATGTTAGTAAGTGATCAGGGCCCCAGCAAAATTATAAGATATAGCTGGGTCACTATAATTTTATACTTATATTTGCTATTTATTAAAATCTGGCATATATTTATGCCAGTATTTATTAAATAGGGACAGATATAGTAAAAAGATGCAACCTGTTGAATAAGAAGTCAAGCAAGAATGAGTTTTGGTTTATTCAGTCTTTCACAGGAAGACGTTTACATTATACCAGAAGAAAACATTTAAAAATTGCGCTGAATTAAAAACATTTTAAAAACTCTCTAAATAAACAAGAATATAAAAAAGAATTACCTTGGGTGATTAAATTTTTTAACAAACCTTGGGTGATTAAATTTACCTTGGGTGATTAAATTTTTTAAAGCAAAATTTTTTAACAAACGTTTTTATGTTAGTGAAACGCTTTTAAATAAAGTAAAAATTTACTGATAATTGACAGTTGTATATACTTTTTTAAATTTATATTATATTAATTGTCTAAGTATGCATTTTTTATAATTATAAAAAATGTATACTTAGACAATTATAAGTATGCATTTTTTATAATTAAAAAATTATTTTGTTTTTCAAAAACGATGACTTTCTTAACAAATTTCAATATAAGAATGATTAAAGTTAATACATTTAAAAAGGTATATATATATAAAACACAATATATATATATATATATATATATATATATATATTTATATATATATATATATATATATATATATATATTTATATATATATATATATATATATATATATATATATATATATATATATATATATATTTTATATATATATATATATATATATATATATATATATATATATATATATATATATATATATATATATATATATATATATATATATATATATCAGTGGTGTACACTGGATTTTTAGATGTTTGAGTTTTGTCACTTACACACATTTTGCAAACTCCAAACTTTTGAATGTTCATACTTATGTTAAATGAGAATGTTTTGCAAAAAGTTGTGGTGATCGGAGCTTGGGGACAAAAAAACCCAATTTTCGGGCTCACCCAGCCCTTAATGTGGGAGCAACAAGTTGATAAAATAATTTCTTTAGTATTTTTATCTAAGTTTATATTCATCAACGAATTTAAAATTTCATGCAATAACCTCTTAATTTTTAGTTTTTATGACCCCTACAAAGTTTACAGCCCCCTCATATTGAGGGGGATTAAAACTTTATATGGTCATAA